AGCTGAGGTGATGAATTCTAACTAGAATGGAAGATATCGAATAATAAATATCGAACACAAAATTCAAAATAACATAGAAATTATTTTGACAAAATTTAGGGAAAGAAAGGATTAGAAATCAATTATATTGAATTGATTTGAGGTAGAGAAAATAGAATTAGGAGGGTTCTATTTATAAATTTATATGTCTCTTTGAATGGTCACATCTTGTGGCCAAATTAATTTCAACCATTAGATCACACTATTTCAAAATTGATGATCTAGATCGCATCTTATAAAAATCATACACATTCGAAACAATTCTTTAATATGCACCATTTGCATTTGAAGAGTCATGCCCAATCGACGCACATATTGGATATTTTTCTAATTCACACATTTTAATTCTTATATTACCCTAAAAATTCTAACAATTTTGAAGTATGTAGCATTGATCGCATTACTCTTAACTTTAAGAATTTCTGCTATCACATGCATCCATCATGTAATGAAAGTCATAAAGTTCGTGCATTCCCAATTATCATATGTGCATGCAGATACGAATAATCATAATGACTTACAGAATCAAAGTACATGCATAATAATGAATAAATCACAACTTACTCAAACGTAGAAAATGCAGAAATCAAATGAGAAAAAATAAAGCGAGGTATGCAAATGCAAATCTCCTGAAAACGGATTTCGTCCCTTGCACTAGTGTTAACATGATCAAATGAATGTCCGTCTCCCAAGATACAATGTTTTTTCCAAAATTAATATAGCATACTATTAATTTTGCCGGACAAACCAACGCATCAAAGACAAAACTCAAAATAATATGGAAATTATTTTGACAGAATTTAGAGAAAGAAAGAATTAGAAATCAATTATATGGAATTGATTTGGAGTGGAGAAAATAGAATTATGAGGGTTTTATTTATAGATTTATATGTGTCTTTTCGAAGGATCACATTTTATGGCCAAATTAATTTCAACAATTAAATCACAGAATTTCAAAATTGATAATCTAGATCGCACCTTATCAAAATGTCACATCCATTCGAAACAACTCTTTGATATGTACCATTCGCATTTGAACAATCTGTCCAATTAATGCACCTACTGGAGACTTTTCCAATTCACACATTTTAATCCTTATATTGCTCTAAAATTTCAACACTAATGCAATTGTGCAGTGTCAAGGAGGTTGAGAAAACAGACAAGAAGGAAACATGAAACCGAGAAAAAGAGGAGAAAATTCAATTCAGAGACAAAAAAAAAACAAAAGTTTGGGGACCAAAATTATAGAAGAATGGGAAATAAGGCTACAAAATTCGAAGAATTCAACAAGACTTAGCACGTGCAAGTGCTAGCTCCCCACGCAAAACATCATTTCATAAATAAAGAGGTACGTGCTCATACCTAGAAGTGTAGATGAATATAATGTTATGGGAATTCTATTGTGTTATAGGCAACTAAAGAGTTATAACATAAAAAATAAGTTCGAGTAAACTCTGTCTTATCTAAAACAAAGACTCAAGACATTAAATGCTAGTGTGATAATGAGTATTTATAATATGTGGATTGTGAGTTGGATAATGCAAAATGTGTCGATAAAAAGTTATAAATGTCCTACTTATATTATAATTTAAAATTTGCTAAATATGTTCTTAATGTGTTTAAAACTCTAATTCATCATGACATCTCGCAACTATTGTGATTTGGGGGAGAAAAGCTTCAATGAGAGGGTGATATATGCACATGTTGTAGGATCATGCACTTATATCATGACATGTGAAATCTCGTGTCACTCAAATCGTGATACATTAGCATTCGAGGTGGTAAGAGAAAGAAATAAAGTATGTGACATCGAGGTGTTGTAATTTAAGTGATTCGAGATATCTTAATTCGAATTAAAGATTTTATTACATATACATATAAGGTCGTTCTATCGAAACTTTTCACCATGTGGTGAGCGTATTAGTTTCAAAAAATAAGTAATATACAATTAAAACCTGCAAAGTTTCAGCCGTGTTCAACACGGTAAACACATTATAATAATAGTGTACAATGTACCTCCAAGAACATGTCGAACGTGGATTTCCAGTCCACCCTCAAACATGCGACGACAAATAATTTACATATTCTCATACATAATGACCAAATTCTCTGGTCCAAAAAGAAGAAATATAATTGATTAAAAAAGATAAATAAATAAAAAAGAAGAGAAGACTATAAACTTAATAAACATCTTGAATCACCAGCTTCTTCTCTTCCCATGTTGTCTAGGAGATTTATGATCTGTTGGTCCATTGATGACACTTCGTGGAGAAGACAATCCATCATCAGTCACAAGCTTTTTTTCACTCAATTTTCTGACATATTCTTTCTTCCTCTTTGGGTTTCTTGAACTTGAACTCTCTCCTTTAATTGTAGGTATCAAATACCACCCAATCGAGGTGCATAATATCGCGAAAGATCGCCCGTAAATAAGAAGCAGAATCAGAATCAATACGATAATCATTGGAATATAGTAGCAAGGTTGCCTTAATTTTTGCCAATTGAAGTTTCTACATGCCAAGCACTTGTGTTTTCTCCTATGTTCCGAAACCTGATCAGTATCGGCCCTCGCAGCATTCGGAGCCTTTGAGGTTTCAACTGTTGGCTTGTCTGGTTGAGTTTCTGACGAATTCTGTTGGATTTTGACATCGGGAATGCTGGGTTTTTCCTGCTTTCTCTCCTTCACCTTAACCACAATAGGTTTGACATCGTTCGAGTTCGAGTATACGAACCGAACCAAAGAAATATCTTCTGAGCCACTTTGTGTGTAAATCTCCTGTCTCTTCTCATCGAGATCAGCTAAAAGTGCATAAAATTTTTCCAAACCACGATCCGCGTAAGGGTTCTTGCTTTTATTTCTGAAAAAACTCGTACCCTTTTTAGATCTCTTTGGGGTAGAACAAGGGCTCCATGTTTCATGGTCATCTTCTACTTGATGATTGAAACTTCCACTGCCACAAATGAACATCAGGAAAATTAAGGTTTTTGATTGGTTTTTTAAGGAGTAATTTGGATTGATGAAACAAGAAACAAAGTGAAGAGGTACATAGTATTTATTTAAGGTCATTGGAAGACTCGATCAATAGTGGCTTGCTAGTCAAACAAATACAAAAAATTACATAATGCCATGGAAGCTTCTGTCGGTTGTAGATTCTAGATTTTGGTGTTTGACTTCTTGCAGATGGGGTTAATGAATGTAATTCAAGGGCATTTTAGTATTTTTAACATTTTAATATATATATACCTATTGTTTTATTATCTTAGGTTTGAAAATTGAATTATGCTATGTGTACAATTTAGTCTGATAATATTGGTTGATAACTCACACTTCACAGTATCATATTCGTCCATTTCAAAAAATATTTTTAAAATTAATGGCCTGAATTTTGACAATAGCAATATTATCAATCATTATTGTCAAGTATGATTGTACAAATAGCATTGTTGAAAATTTTCCAAGTCTATCATGTTGGTGTTTATTGTACTTATGGCTTGTTTGTGTAAGGTAGTAATTTGAACTTACATTTACATAGATCATTATTGTTCAACATATTTGAGTGTATTAGTTATTCTTTTTTTTACCAAAATAATTTAATTATTTTGAGTAAATATTAAACAATAAAAAATTATTTATTTTAGAAGAAATTGCACTATTGGTCTCTAATATGTTAATTTTGTAGCAGAACTTCATGATAGCGCTAAAGAGAATTTTGGGCAAACTCATCCACTTCCATGGGTTATCAAGCATTGCCCTATTTCTATATATTAAGTTCATGTTTGGTTAGGATTAAAATAAAAAAAATTTAGTAAATTTTGATAAAAATTGATGAAATATGTCGTTAAAAAATTGTGGACCCCATAAATATATGTTGTTAAAATTGATTGTTGACTATAATTTAGATTAAAATCACTAGCAAACAGTGGTTGAACCAAAATATTCCATTTTCAAGTTTCAACATTTCATTATAATTACACAATTAGCCATCAACAACTAAACTCGTCGCAATATTCAATAAATTGTCACATAATCATCCTCATATATCCATCTTTAGATTTCTGTATTTTTGTTTACAATCGAGAGTTCATATCCTGAAATTTAAGTTTTAGAAAGGTCTTCGTTACTTGAAAATGATTGTACTTTGTTGAAAAACTCACCCATTTTTAAAGGTTTGTGACAAATTCGCTTCTTGAGCAAACGATTGAAGGCCAATTGTATAAATTTCTCTTAATATAAAATTTATTTATTTATAAATAAACTTATATAAAATTTTAAAATATATTAAAATGTGGTCATAATTTTACAAGAAAATTATGCTCACGCGTCGAACTCTCCTCTTACCAACTTTCTTGAAATAGAGTAGGTATAACTTCCCTAAAGACCATACCGCCACTCTCCCAACCATCCTTTTTTATAGGGACACTCTATTTGTCCCCTCATTAAAACCATTAAACAAATTTTGCAATTTACCTATTTATCTTTATATCCATCTATTAAAAGTATAATATAAGTCGAAATTACTCGTTATGATTATAAAGTCATGTTTGATTGCACTTCAATTCAATGGAAGATGGAAATTAAATTTTATTTTCCACATTTTTGCATGTTTGATTGTCCAAATTTTCCATGGAATTGATTTTCATCTTCACCTACATGTCCACATTTTCTTGGTTTTTAAGGAAAATCTTTTCCCACCACTTTGGTGGAAAAAGCTTTTCTAAGCAACTTTTTATTTATTTATTTATTTATTATTATTATTTTCTTTTTTTTTGTAATGGAAACAAATTCCATCCCTAATTGTAACAAATTATATACTTTTAATTGACAATTTCTATGAAAAACAAAGTCAAACGAGTACCAAAAGATCCAAAATTTCAACATTTTTCAAATAAAAAATTATACAAATCAAACACAATTAATTGACAATTCCCAGTAAAACAAGTTATAGGCAATTCAATTCCTTAAAATTTATTTTCTTTCCACCTAAATTCCATTCTTGCAATCAAACGGACCCTAAGTTTAACAAGTTTTAGGCAATTCAATTCCTTAAAATTTATTTTCTTTCCACCTAAATTCCATTCTTGCAATCAAACGGACCCTAAGTTTACTATTCTAACATTTATGTTATTTATGTTATTTGAAACATTTATGTTATTTGAGTGGATAAAACTGAATAAATCACTTTATAGATGACAAAACTAGAGAAGAAACATGATGATATTTGGTGGGGGTTGGGTGGTAACTAATTCAATTTATTTAGGGCCTGTCTGTCTTTGATTTTAAAAAGAATTTACCTATTTATCTTTATATCCATCTATTAAGAGTGTGTTTGGTAGGGATTTTTGAGGGAAGAATTGATTTTTGAATAGTGATAAGATGGGAAATGTGTGGTTGAAAAAGAAAAAAAAAGTATTGATATGATGAAAAATATTAATTTATTGAAAAATGTGTGGTTGAAAATGAGAATTGATTTACTGTAGAAAATGAGAATCTGTACCAAACAAGCCCTAAAACTATAATATAAGTCGAAATTACTCGTTATGGTTATAAGACCATGTTTGATTGCACTTCAATTCAATGGAAGATGGAAATTAAATTTTATTTTCCACATTTTTACATGTTTGATTGTCCAAATTTTCCATGGAATTTTTTCATCTTTCACCTACATCTACATGTTCACATTTTCTTGGTTTTTAATGAAAAACTTTTCTCACCACTTTGGTGGAAAAAGCTTTTCTAAGCAACTTTTTTTTTTAATTTATTGTTATTATTTTCTTTTTTTGTAATGGAAACAAATTCTATCCCCAATTGTAACAAATTATATCCCTTTAATTGACAATTTCTATGAAAAACAAAGTCAAACGAGCACCAAAAGATCCAAAATTTCAACATTTTTCAAATAAAAAATTATACAAATCAAACACAATTAATTAACAATTCCCAGTAAAGCAAGTTCTAGTCAATTCAATTCCTTGAAATTTATTTTCTTTCCACCTAAATTCTATTCTTGCAATCAAAAGGACCCTAAGTTTACTATTTTAACATTGATCTCGTAGTTCTTGAAACATTTATGTTATTTGAGTGGATAAAACTGAATAAATCACTTTATAGATGACAAAACTAGAGAAGAAACATGATGATATTTGGTGGGGGTTGGGTGGTAACTAATTCAATTTATTTAGTTACATTTGTTTGAAATTGTGGCTCTAAGTGCGTAGTTGGGTTACTATTAGTTTTCGAAATTTTGCTAACTACTATTTACTTGCAGGGTTAAAATCGAACGTGGTGTATAATATTGAAAAAGTGTTAACATCGAAGCATGCATTTTCGTGTAACACGCGATTCGATAAATAAATTAAATCTCATTTTAAACATATTAAGGGTTTTCTGTATTAATCCTATGCTATGTGTATCTACGTGGCGTTTGCTTGATTTGTTAGCATTTCTTTGAAATTTGATAGAAAATAAATTTATATTAAAAAATAAAAATAAATGGCCGAAGCGTGACGTTTGCTTGATTTTTTAGCATTTTGATTATCTAATGAATGAAGTAAGTAATTGATGTGACAAAATAAACAAAATTATCTTTACATAATATTTTAATTTTTCACCACCTTTCTTACTCTAATATTCTAACCCAATGTCAGAGGGAGGTGATTATTTAAATGTTTAATAATAAAGCTCGTCAATTTTAGAAATAAAACACTTAAAAGAGAGGAAAAAAGAATACTTGTCAACAAATTATTTCAGTGGTAGCTATTTTCAATAAAACTGGAACGTTGACTGGGTTGATCCACATTAAATCGAATTTTCTAGAGACAAGTGTACCATTGTTTTTCACCTCTATCACATGGATGAATTCATATTTTTTAAAGATAATTCAAACTAGGAGTGCATTGAGAAGTTATTCAACGAAAACAAGATATTGTTTGAACAAATCTAAGATAATTTTCCCACCATCATTACTGTGACAACTATTAATTTTATTAAAATGAAAGAAACGACTAAGTCCCTCTTTGATTTAGATAAAAATCAAAATTTTAATATATTTTGATAAAAATTGATGGAATGTGTAATTGAAAAATCGGGTGTCCATAATTAAAATATATGGTTAACATTAATTGATTTTGACTAGATTTTAATCTAGATTTGTAGCTGTATTACACGAAGGCTAAATATAGAACCAACAATAAAAGATTTCGAGCATGTTTGGGCATGTTTAAAACTTACATTTAAGTAACTTAGGGACCGTTCTCTTCGTGTTTCAATTTTGTATTTTGAGTTTTGAATTCATTTTGTGTTTTCTGTTTTGATTGTCTGTTTTGGAATTGCTGAAAACTCGTTCTCTTTGTCATTCTGAAAAACTGTTTCTCAAAAAAAAAAATATGAAAACGCGTTTATTTTGAAATTTTGAAAATCTTTTTTTATAATATTTTATTCCATAAATTTTACATGAATAAACAAAAAAAATTGCCATCAAGAAGATGATTGTCAGGCATCAAGAACCCAATTGTTGGATTACAAAAATAAGATTGAGGAAAATAAACTTAAACTACTCGTGCTAAAAATTCTTCACTTCTTCATCCTGAGATTGAACCATTTGCACATCACAATAAACGTTTCTCCAAAACCAATTTCAGCACGTGAGTTTTAATCTATTTGCTCAAGAAATAGAAAAGGGAAAAATAATTTTAAAGATAAAGAAAACATGTTATTCGCACCTGCGCCAACAATGACTTTCTTTAATGGTTTGTATGGACGTGGAGAGTTACGAAACGTTGAAGATAAATAAGTAGCTTCCAAATAATTGACGCAAACAACCTATATAACAAACATATCATCAATGTGTTTCTTCTTGATCTCGTCATAAAAGCATGAGCAACAAGACTCTTCAATTTACTACCCATATCATCACTACTTGCAAATGATAGTGTATTCATTTTCCCATCAAGACAGTAGCATCTCCAAGA